GTTAGATCCAATGCTTGGTAATATATAAATATTATATATATATATATCACAATCAATAATTATAGTGTCTAATATTTTATTTTTTCTTTACATTAATTAATTTTAATTAAGCAACTGGAGGATCAGCACTTAAAGCCATAGAAGTTTTGTTGGAATATGGAGTTTTAGAGGATAAAATATTATTTTTAAATTTACTTTGTTGTCCTGAAGGTATTAAAGCAGTAACCGAGAAATATAAAAAACTTAAAATAATCACATCTTTTATTGATCAAGGATTGGATGAGAAGAAATATATTATACCAGGAATTGGTGATTTTGGTAAATTATATTAATTTATTAGTAACAATATTAACTTAAATTTATTAATTAATCATTATTGTTTATTTTAGGTGATAGATATTTCACTCTTCCTTGAATATATTTTAATCTTAAATGTTTTTTGTATTATTTATTATAAACATTTTAAATACAAATATGATAATAAATTATTAATTAAAAATATAAATTATTATTTATTAATTATTTAGATATTTATTAATTATTAAATATTAATATTATGGTACAGCTATATTTAACGCTTGTTTAATATCTTCCAACTATTTTTTTTTTAGAGATAGAAAGATGAATTATTAATTAAAATATAATCAATAATAATGACAATGATAAAAAAGAAGACATTTATGAATTAATTTTACTTGCCAAATCTTTAGTTTCTTCTATACCAACTGATAGTCTAATCAGATTATCTGTTATACCAAGAGCTTCACGATGCTCTTTGGCAACAGATGCGTGTGTCATTCTTGCTGGATGTTCTGCTAGACTTTCTACTCCTCCCTTTATTTATTTATAAAAATTATTATTATTATTATAATATATATTACAATTTTATTAATTTAACAGTTAAAAACGTACCAATGATTCAGCTAAAGTAAATAAATTTGTGGATTGTAAAAATGTATTTGCTTCATCAAAACCACCTTTAATTTTGAAGGATATCATACCACCAAATCCTTTCTGTTGATTTTTAGCCAACTCATATTGTGGATGAGATTCCAATCCCGGATATATGACTTTTTCAACTTTGTCAGGTACACTTTCCAAATATTTTGCTAATGCCAAGGCATTTTTTTCATGTTGTTTCATTCGTAGATGTAATGTTTTAACGCCTCTACTTGCCAACCAACAATCAAACGGTGATGGAATTGCTCCCATTGCGTTCTGTAAAAATTTTATCTTCTCGTATAATTCATGGGAATTTGTTATTGCCACTCCCATAACAACATCCGAGTGACCATTTATGTATTTTGTCACTGAGTGTACCACTATGTCAGCTCCCAAATCTAATGGGTTTTGAAAATACGGACTCAAAAACGTGTTGTCAACCACCAGAATTGCATTATGTTTATGAGTTATTTTTGCTATGGCTGATATGTCGGCCAATCTTAATGTTGGGTTTGATGGTGTTTCAATCCAAACAATCCTTGTATCATCTCTAAACCCTTTCTCAATTTCACTAACATCTCCATTCAATTCGACAAACGACGTCGCAATACTCTGAGAATCTGCCACTCGTTTGAAATAACGATATGTGCCACCATAAAGTTCATTAACTGCTATTATATGACCACCTGTGCCAATGGTTGTTATTATTGTTGCTGTTGTGGCAGATCCTGATGAAAATGCCAATGCATATTTTCCTTTTTCCAATGATGCAATCGTTTGTTCAAATGCATTTCTTGATGGATTTCCTGATCTCGAATATTCATATCCCTATGATAATTAAATATAATATAAATAATATAAATGTATTTGCAAATGATGATCAATCAATCATTTTAATATAAATTTTCATTAATCATTTTATTAATTTGATAAATTAAAATTTATTTACTATTGTTATTGTTATTGTTATTTATTAGAATTATCATCTATCACAGCCAATAAAAAAGTTACCTTGTGTACACCAATTGATTCTTGTTTAAAAGTTGTAGATAAAGAAATTGGCGGGATAACAGCTCCTGAGTGAGGGTCGGAATCTTGACCTACGTGTATAGCTTTTGTACCGAAACCTTGTGCCAACTTCAAATGTTCTTTTTTACTTTCAGCACCATTGATTTTGTTGAGAACTCCATTACCGTTAACAAGAACTATTCCATTATTACCACTACTATTGTTTGTGATATTTGGAGTCATTTTTTGTTAAATTTTTTTTTTGTGTGGAATAATAATTTATAATAAAGGAGAAAAATATATTTTTTAGGCTTTATTTTTTCAATCGTTCATTTATATACTTTTTGATTTTTGATTTGTAATATATTTTTTCCATTTATTTTTAAATTTTTAAGCAATGAATAATGATATAAGAATTTGAAA